TATTTAGCCACAAAAATCTAATAACACGCACGAAGTAGAAAATGCTGGTTATTATATGGCTTCTTCCTGAATAGATGCTTAAAAATACTGTTTTCATAAGAAAAATGCCTACCAGCTCAGGATGCCAGAAACAGGCTTTGATGTTCCCCAGTACCCAGAGTAAGCTTTCCGGCTGAAGAAATAATAGGAAAAACTAGAAAACAAAGGGCGGCAGGAGGGAAGATGCTGGCTATTCCAGAAATAGCGCTGGCCTGGCAGAAACCAGTTTGCTACGAGCGTGCCATGAGCAGAAACTTCTGGTGCAAAGACTGCTGTTCTGAAGCATCTCCCTGCTCTTACATAACACGTCCCAGAGATCTTCGGTTCAAGCTCTTCCATGCTCTAAATTAGGAAGTAAGAGGCAGTTTGAAGGGGAGCTTGACAAGCAGACGGGTTTCTGGGTTGGGGTCAGAAACTGATGAGTGCTTAGAGATGTCCTGGGTGTGTCCCTGTGATGACCCTCCGTCTAGTCCTCAATTTCTTGACTGGCACAATCACAGGTGCTAACAACTTCTGACTTTTAGGTTGCTAACATCAGCTTAAAATCTGGAATGGGGACGGGAAGCTACACTTAAGCTTCTTAAAGGCTGAAACTCTGCCCTATCTGTCTCTGTGCACTCTGGAGCCATTGCCGCTTGGGTAAAATTGGGGAGGGTTTAACATTTCAGTGTGCTAGCAAAATCCATGGGCTTTAGAGTCAGGCTCCTCGGATTCACATCCTTTTCCCTCCCTATGTGCAGACCAGGGACCAGCTGCAGAACCTCTGCGGGCTTTCAGTCACCTGACCCAGAAAAGGACTGGTGACATCATTCACCGCCCAGGGTCACTGTGGGGCTCACATGCAAGCGGGTAAACACACAGAATGCCAGGCTCGCCACATAGTTATTAGCAGCACTTGGAAGGTCTCAGCTGCTCAAATTCCTCATCATTGTTTCTCCTATTTGCTTCTTCTCACCCATTAGCTAAATGTTTGGGGCTTTTGCCTTCAAACTAATTTCACGGGGAATACGGTGACCAGGAAAGCTGGTTAATGCGTTGGGATGAACTGTGACTTGAGACTATGACCTCAGGGTCTTTGCAGCTATGGCAACGGCGGCACGACTGATGCCCTAGAGATGTGTTCATCCTGCATTGGGATCCCATGCCTCTGGAAGAGATGGAGAGGAAGACACAGTGCAGAGGGCTATGGAGAAGAAGATGGAAGCCACCAGAAGCAGCTTCCCAGGAGGCTCTGGAGGGAGCACAGCTCTGCCCCTGTGCTCCTTGGACTTATGGCCTGGAGGACCATGAGAGTATAAGTCTCGATTGTTCAGACCCATCGAATTTCTGGTAATCTAGTGTGGCAACCCTGGGACATGCAGCCGGTTGGGAACAGCAATTCTGGAACACCTGGATTTGGTGATGGCCTATGGAGCAGAAGCCGTCACATGTTCTCCTCTCCCGAGAGACTGGGCACTGCAGGCAGAGCTCTCGTCACATGTTCTCCTCTCCCGAGAGACTGGGCACTGCAGGCAGAGCTCTCTTCGGGAAAGGCAATCACCAGCTCCGGAGATCAGAATGATCAAACCAGTTTCTACTGGGAGTCTTGGGGGTTTTCTTTTCTTTTCTTTTCCCTTCTTTCTACGGAGACCAAAGTAGGAGCATAAAGTGCATCTTGAGACACTGAGCAAAGTCACCCTCTGTTGGGCCCCCAGAAAATAAATGCACAGCGTGGTTCTCCATGCTTGTTCAGTACACCCACACAGTAGCCCACACAGGTCTCCATTGCTTTCTGAACCCACCCGCAGTGGACAAAGGGGACCACTAACTAGAGACTCTGAGCTAAAAAAAGATGAGTGGTTACCAAGAGACCAACATAACTGTACATTTCTCTTAACCCTACTGATTCATGAAATTATGACTGTGAAACAGATTCCCCTCTAAAGTGAAATATATATGTTTCATGTATGTAACTATATTCATGTCATAAACATGTAGATATGTATACATACATCTATATAAGCCTTCCAAACCTTTGGAAATTTAATAGCATCTTCAAGGAAGAGACATGTAAGACTGGAATCTACAGATGCTCAGAGAATTCTCTTCCTCTCCTCTAACTCCAGGAAAGAAAAAGAGCAGCAGACAGCGCCAGCACTCAGGGGGTGACTTTTTTTTGGAGCAAAGGCGTTAGACAAGATGACACATGCTGACAGGTTCAACAAATAGTGGATGCTGGGCCAATCAGCAGATAATTTCTGTGTGTTTGCCTCGTAGGGAGAACTGTGAGTCACGCTATTTCAAAGACAGGTCACGATTGCTGTTTGTCATCTTGTAACGTGAAGGTCGAGAGAGAGGAGAAGGCAGATGGAAGCCGCATGGAACCAGATCAAACACATCCACGCAGGGCCTGCTGCATGGTTCCCACAGTGCCCGGGACCTGTGTAATTACTGCCTGGACTGACATCTGAGGCTCTCACCTCCTCGGTAACCAGGCGGTCACCAACTCACAAGTCCTTTGTGACTTCTGAAAGCCACGTCTTCCGTGACTCAGCCAAGCTTTGCTTCTCTTCCCCCACTGGGTCTTTTAGTCAGTGTAATTTCAGGAATAAAGTAACTGCACGGAAGAGGCCAGTAGGGGAATCCAAGGAAAGAAGCCATGAGTTTTCTAGATCCCAGGCCACCGTGGCATGGATAATTGCTTAGTTAAATAAAATTCCAGTACACCGAAAAAACATTCAAATGGTGGGGGGGGGGGCTGAAGCCAAACAGAATCAAGGATTTTTGTCAATAATGTTATTTGCAGGGAAGGGAGGGAAGGGCAGGGTGCAGGGACCTACTCCCATGGAAAAAAAAGTCAACAATTCAACAGGATTTTTAAAATATGTAAATGGGAGTTAAGTGAGATGACACAGAGATGCTTGTTGCCAAGGCTGACAACAAGTCCTTGGGATCTGACTGATGAAAGTTGTTCTTTGACCTCTTCACACACACACTCTCTCCCATGCCCTCCCAATAAATAAATAAATAAATAAATGTAATTTCCCCATCCTCCATCAAAGAGCTCTTCCGAGGAAATGATACATTTTAGTACTCAAATGAGTATACACGTTCATACAGCTCGAGTAAACCCATAACCCTTCAAAGAGAACTGTGCAATTCTGATAGGATAATTCTTAAAGAAACCACTGGGTGAATATAAATCCATAGAGTTCTTCCAGGGTTTAGGAAGAAACCAGCTATACAGTTTGAGCAAGTAGGCTGCACTGTGTCCTTTTCTTCCCGCCCAAGAATGTCAAGCTAGACCATGAGAGTTGCAATAACGGCAAACATTGAGTCCAGACAATTGCATGGAGAATCTGTCAAACTATCTGACAATACCTGATCCATCATCTGAACAGGAAGGGAACAAAGAGGTGGGAAGTTTCAGAGAAACAGCCTCAGCCTATGCTAGGGTAAAGACCAACTTCTTCAGCTGCCCTTGTTCTCTGAGCCATTCTGCATCAAGGTAGGGAAAGGGCATTTGGTCATCTCGTTCTAGATCTGAAGCCTTCTCCCCAGATGCAAGAGGGGAAAGGGGCACTGGAATAGGGACAATCGGAGAGCAGAGGCTGTGGGCAAGGAAATTAGCTAAAAGCTAAGAGTCTATTGAATCAAATGTGTGTACACTCGTGCACATGCTGACACACACATTCACACACCTTCTGAGCTGACTTGAATTTATCAGCTTGGGTGATTTTTGAACAGTGGATATGTACACAAATGCATACTTTTTAGAAAGAAAAGAATACACCCATGTAGATGTTCTCTTATTGAATGTGCATATATCTCACTAAGCAAGCTCTTTGGGAAACTGTGTTGCTCCAGTGAGCAAGCCCTTATAATATACCAAAACGCACAGAGAAATCCTTCCTGACCTCATTTCTCATTTTCTGACCTGCTACGCTCCCTGGGCTGCTATTGGCTCCTGCAACCCTCACATCCCCTTGAACGCTCACCAGACTATTAATTCAAAAGCCAAGAGCTTCATCCGCTCCACCGGTCACCACCACTTGGCTTTGTGTTTTGGGAAAGGCAAGAAGACCAGCCTGACTTGAGTCAGGATCTGTGGGAAGATTGGTTGTTGATTTGTTCACGTCTGGATTAGGTCTAAAGCGATAATATTATGATGATGAATGCTCGAGAGCTCCATCTGCATATAAATAGACCTAATCAGAAATGCAAATGGAAGTCTCCAGAAATGTGTAAAGGCTGCAGATAGCTGTGCCTTTGTGTGGGTGAGGACAGGTCAACACACGCGTGTTGTGACTCCATCCAATGCCCAGAGTCTTCCTTTGAAAGATTATCTATCAGTCTGCACCCAGGCTGGGCTGGGTTTCCCATCCTTTGACCTTCCTAACATAGCTCAGTTCTGCTCAGTTCCGTGAAAGAACCACACTTCTTGTACACAGAGAGTAGAAAACACACTTGCATCTGAATCACCCCAAAGACTCCTCTGAGAGGACTGTCCCACTAACTTAGGGGTGAAGAATAAGGTGCAAGGATAATACGATGTTTTTCAGACAGTAGTCACTGCTCCTCTGAGTGGATTCAATAATATGTGTTGGGTGTGCCACCGAATTTCCCTAATACCAGAGAAAGTACACTTGAAAAGAAAACAGCAGTGTTTAGACCAACTATATAGTCCTAAACTGCATCTGTGTTCCTCTTGTGCAAAGCACAAAGTGAACATCTCGGGAAATTTGTCGCGCTGGAAGTTGACAACTGTTCCAGGCTCGCACCGTTTCTCAGGGTGTGATCTTGCAGAAACATCCCCTCCTTGTGTCCTCACAAATCTGTTGCTCTTTCTCTTCTTTTTGAAAAGGAAACATATCTCACAATCAGGCTTTCTCAAATCAGGAAAGAAATTGCATACCAACTAGCTTCCCTCCGACCGGGTTCATGAGGCACTGATGAGTCAAGAGCGCCATCTGGTGTCCTACCTTGGGATCTTAAAGAGCATTTTCACAGGATGCATTTCAAAGAGGGGAGGGTCTCCATCTCCCAGCTCAATGGCTGTGATGCCCAAAGACCAGACGTCACAACGAGCGTCATAGGACGAGTCATACTGCTGTTCACAAGCAATGACCTACCAGACAAAAGCAAGACACAGCACATCAGCCCACTGTCACCCCAGATGTGTTAAGACTACAACAAAAACAACTTTGGACTCTGCCTTTTTCGCACCATTTTCTGCACCATTGACTGACTGTGTTAATACTGAATAGTAGCAGTGTTTGTATTCTAGACCCTGTTTATGCATAAGTGATTCATCATCTGATATGGCTACTGACTTTTTTCTTTTTCCTTTCATCTTGAACCAGGGTCTCACTGTGTGGCTTGAGGCTGGTCTCAAATTCACAAGACATACCTCTCTCTGCGTGTTCCTTCCTTCCGTTCTCATGAGACAGTCATGAGTGTTCGGATGCAGGTGGATTTGTTAACTTTTTTTTTTAAGTGTTAGTTCCATTCAAAAGACTGTGTACTGAGCCTCACATCTCGGTACCAATAGTAGCACAAGGGAGTGTATGGAGAAGGAACCACTCCATCCCCTAACAGCCTGGCTTTTTCCTTTAAAGAAAAGACTTGGTATGCAAATTGCCCCTCCCCACCTGTGGGTAAATTCAACAAAGAACAGGTGCTCTTAAGAAGGGCTGCTGTAGAATCCTAGGTGAAACACACTAGCGGGGGGAGTTGGAAGACCCCTACAATTCAAAGTAGGACCCACCCTACTCTGTAGTTTCCCTTCTATCAACAACATCTGTGCCCTCCTCAAACCTCAACAGCTGTTAGCAGCTGCCACTGCATTTCCTGTTCTAACTGGGTAGAATAGCAGCAGGATCAGAAATGACTGCTTGGGTTGGAGAACACAAACCCTTAGAAGATTCGGTTTCTATCACAATGTTCCTGATGTTCGGTCTGATGTGGAAAAAGGCTCCTACACAGACTCATGCCTTATCATTCGAGAGCTGAAGAAAGGACCACGTGGATGGGGATGAGGGACCCAGTACTCCATTGACCTTGATTTTTGCCTCCCAGCACAGGCAGGAAGCTGAGGTGTGGTGGCCAAGTACCCCATTGGTGAGCACAGTCTGGCCAGGCTGCTCCCCTAGGGCCATAGTGTTGTCTTTGGCTTTTACTCAGAAGGAGACACTATGGCCATGATGAATTACATGCAGCCAGGGGATCTACTAGAGCATAGGCTGCATGCTGAGGGCAGAATCAAGAAAACAACACAATGCCAGTTACAGAGCTTTTGTAGGCTCCAGCCATAAGGGTGTGAGAAATAACCAGATTCTGAATGTAATTCTTAAGGTTGAACCAACTGGAATTGTAAGAGAGCTTTTAAGAAAAATGGCTCGTGGATAACTCTGCAGTGTTTGACCAGACAACGGGTTTACTGAGGTGGAAAGGATGGAGGAAAACCAGGTCCAGGTCTCAGAGTTGAAGTTTTCAAACCTCAGATGTCAGGGAAGTATCCAAAAGGAGATAATGGTTTTAAACCCTAAGACCCCCAAGACTCCCTTACTGGACTTCTGGCCCGGATAATCCTAAGAAAAGTCCTTCGGTCTGTATGCGTTACCCCACCCCAATTAACATGTCAGAAATAAATCCCCAGTGAAACAGTTAGGAAATGAGCCTTTTGGGGAGATGTTCAGTCATGAGGCTTGACCTCTTGAACAGACACGTGACAGTATGAGACATGAGAACGGAAGGTTCTCTCACAGAACCTTCATCTCCTTCATCTTTACAGTCTCAGACCTTACAACTGTGAGAGAACGAAGTTTGTTCTCTAGAGATTGCCCTACCTTAGCTATTTATCACAAAGTAAAGCACAGTTTTAAAAAAAAAATGTATGTTGTGCCTAAGAGCACTGACTGCTCTTCCAAAGGACCCGGGTTCAAGTCCTGGCACCCACATGGTAGCTTAGAACTGTTTGTAACTCCAGTTCCAGGGAATCTCACACAGGCACACAGGCAGGCAGAGCACTGATGTACATTAAAAAAAAGATAAAATAATATAAACTGTATATATAAAAGTTGTGTGTTACTCTGAGCCCCTATATCTTCATATTTCCACAGCAGCAACGGAAAACTAATGTAGCTGCTGTCTTCCACAGCAGGCCACTGGGAAAATGTTCCAAGCTTCCCATCCTTAACCTCAACTTGTGCTCTCTCTCCTGCATTCTGTCTCTCTCTCCTGGTCTCTGAACTGGAGAACGTTCTCTCATGGACCTCCACCACGCGTCTGGCTGCCACCCCTCCGTCGGAACAGAACGTCTTCTTGCAGACTGTCCTGTCATGTGTTCAACACACTATTTTCAAAGTTCAGATTCCTCTGCATCTGGAGCCAGAGGCTATTCCGATGCCCCTAAACACCCCACTCTCCTACCCCAATCAAGTAAGAGCCTGCAGCATTACAAGGGGCCCCGGAGAAGGGTCCTGGACACCTCTCTGGAATGACATTTTGAAAGTGCAGGACAAACATCATTTTAGACCTATCAATCAGCCGACAGCTGGCCAGTTTATTCATGACACTGTGATGGGCTTGAAAATCTCAGAATACTAGGGAAAGACAGCTGAGAAGGATGACGGGAAGCGGCTTGCACCAATAGTCTACAGCTTCCAGGAAGACACACCTGCCATCTCAACCAGAACACAAAAAGCAATACCAAAGACGCCCAAGTGTCAAACTGGAGGCACGCTGTCACCTCTTCAGGGTTGCCATAAAATATTCAAAACTGATTTCAACTTGTCTTCGCAGACACTGTCTTCATAAGCAGAAAAACACCTCTCAGGCAAATTCTTCTCCAGAACTCAGCTCATTCTACCCAAAGCAACTCTTCCACAGACGTTTAGAGAAAATCGCACGGATAAAATCATCCACAAACCATTATTTTGTAGCCACGAGCCAGACAACGTGCTAGGCTCTGAAGAGGGAAAGTCAAACAGCGCAGCTTAGTCTTCACGGGCAACCCTGGGGTGGGGTGGGTGTTGTTATCTCCTTTTGTAGCTGCTTACTCTACAAGAGTAAATTTCGGGCAGACCTGTGATGGATTTTTTTAATTCATAAAAGAATATTTATTTATTTACTTATCTATTTAGGCTTTTGGAAACCTGAAGTACTTTTTTCAAAAAAAGGCTCTAAGGATGCTTCCCACCTGAAGGTCAGAGCATCTTGTAAATGGGTGTCCTATAAATCTAACACGAGAGCGTCTTCATGGACAGGAGAAATGCACTGGGGTTCTCAGCATCCTCTGTGCCTCAGATAAAGCTGAGTTAATCAAGCTGTGACTGCCTGGTCTCTGACTCCCTTGCCTCGGGAGATGAGACCTTCAGGAGCAAGACTTCCCGAGCCGAATCTTTGTTAGGACACTCTGATGAGAGGGCAGCTATGGCGGGCAAAGCACTGTGCTGAACTGAGTTGACCAGCTTCTGGAAGTCATACTGGAAATGTGAGGACAGACACGTTGAGACCAAGTAGACAAGGGTCCAGAACCCCACAGAGCCCGTCATCTCCCCACTCCGTTATCACCTCTCTGCCCCACAGTGATGAAGGTGTGCACTTTCTCTGTCACCTCTGGTAGAGACTTGGTGTCTGTGTGACAGAGGGGCGCAGGAAGGGAGTAATAGGCATGTGTGGAAGAGTTCAAGGGGAAACTGAAGGACCTGGAGTTTCGTTTAATGAGAAGATGAGGAGGGACACATCAATGAACAGTGACACGTTTGAGGTGACCAGAAGGAAGCCGGTTTCGTACACAACACTGAAGAAATCCTTTTGCTAGTTCAAAGGGAGTCAGTGTTTATCCTAATTGGATGTAAACAGTCACTTGAGTCTTCAAGATCTCACTCAGTTTTTCTTCTTCAGCACGGAGATGAAGCCAAGGACTTAGGCAAGCTTTGGTCTAGTCCTGAGCTAGGTCCCCAGTCCTAGACTTATTATTGCTATTATTTTTTATTTACATGTATGTGTGTGTCTGTGCACGGGTTTGTGTATGTGATTACATGGAGGACAGAAGAAAGCATTGGATACTCTGGAACAGGCACCATGGGCCATTGTGAGCAGCCCAGCTGCGGTGCTAGGAACTAAACCCAGGTCCCCTGTAAGAACAGCAAAAGCTCTTATCCACTGAGCCATCACCAGGGCTCAGCCCTTGTTTCTTTTTCCCTTTTTCTTTTCTTCCTTTCTTTGTTTCTTTCTTTCTTTGTGTGTGTGTGTGCGCACAAATCTCACTATGCAGCCCAGGCTGGTCTTGAACTCATAATCCAGGACCTCTCTTGATTTATAGAATGCTAGAATTGGGAGAAGAGTCGTTTCTGCCGTCCCTTCCAGCTCTAACATTCTTTGACTTCACGATTTCTAAGCAAGTGACCTTGGGATAGTATTTGAAACGGAGGGGGTCCACACCCACATGAAAATTAGCCAGAGTGCAGTGCAGGCCATTTTGGGGCAGGCACTTACTTGATGGCTGGAACCTTGAAGGGAATTTACCACTGATATTTTGTAGGAGGAATTAAGGTTAGTAGAGGTGCTAACACCTCCGTTAAGGAAGATGAACTTCAGCCACAGCGCAACTGTTTGGAGGCTGGTTAATGGAGCGTGTCCAGGTTCTTCCCTCGAAATGCAAACTTAGGGCTCTACTGGCCGTGCTTAGACTCGCTATTGCACATTTTGGGCAGAAGGGAAACGCTAATGCCAGGATTACCAGCAGTATCTATGCACTGGCAGCCTTAGTGCCCAGTACCAATAGCTATCCTACACAGAGGTAGCCTTAAGGTTTCCAAATGGCAGCTGTAACCACTTTGGCCTCCAAAACTTTTCTTTCAAGGGGAGACTGGGGATAAGCAGAGGTCTTTACAATGGCGTAGGTCACAGAGCACAGGCAAGCAGTCCAGACTAAGGAGACAGCTCTTTTTAGCCTACTTCACGGAAATCAGGGTCAGGTTGCAGATTCCTGAGGGCCTCCTGATCACCCTTCCCACCCTGTGGTGGATGAGTGTCCTCCCTCTGCCTTTAGGAACTTCTGAGGCTTGGGGGCAGGGCTTCCTTGACTTGATGCCACAGTCACTGGGCCTCACTGTCTCCTTG